TTTCTTGCACATTCTTCCTGGAGCAAGGCCTGTTAAAGTCCATATCCACCATCCTCCGAGCCTCCCGCCCAGGATCGTGGCTGTAGTGTGTAGTTATAGTCTGTGTAGCTGTGCTAAGCACATTTATCTGTACTTACTCATTCTAAGAGCAACCTTCTGAGAGGTTTCATCCCCATCTCACGGATAAAGAAATCCAGATACAAAGATGTTCCCCAACTTGTCTGAGGTCTGCAGTGAGCATGTGTCAGAACAAGAATTTGAATCCAAGCCGGGCAGTGGTGGCACGCACCTTTAATCCCAGAACCTGGGAGGCAGCTGCAGGCGGATCTCTGAGTTGGAGGCCAACCTGGTTTACAGAGAAGGTTCCAGGACAGCCAGGGCTACACAGAGAAGCACTGCCTCAACTGCCCCCACACCCCAAAAAAAGAATTTGAGTTCAGGCAGCCTGGCTCCAGAACTGATCCTCGGCTGATGGGCTACACAGCCTGCCCTGTGAAGGAGAAGCCATCCCTCCTCCCTGAGAGGCTTTTGAGTTTCGGGTGGGTGGCCGAGGGACGACTCAGAACTGGCCACGTTGGCATGCCGCCCACTGCTGGCAGGGCCAGTCCTCCCAGCCACCGTGTGAGCAGGTGTGGTTGGAAGAGAATCACTGCCCCCTCTCAGAGAGGCTAGGAGACTGCATCAGAAATCACATGGCAGGTAAGATTCAAGTCCAGCTCCCTTCACTCATGCACCGGCTCCACGCAGCCTCCCCTGACTCCCGGGAGAAGTGCTCAGCTGAAAGCACTCAGCTTCCTTGGCACCTTGGAGACTGTTCTTTCCAGAGCCACAAAATGAGTCCAGATGAGGCTTCCTGGAGTAAAGAGTCTGGCATGAGCCAGAAGATTGACTTATCTTACAACTGATGATGCTAGGCTGGACCCCACCCATCACTATATTGACTTAAGGTTTGTTTATCTATTATGTACACAGTGTTCTGCCTGCTTGTATGCCTGAACTGCACGCCAGAAGAGGGCGCCAGAACACATTGTAGATGGCTGTGAGTCACCATGTGGTTGCTGGGAATTGAACTCAGGACCTCTGGAAGAGCAGTCAGTGCTCTACCTCTGAGCCATCTTTCCAGCCCCCAACCGTGTGCGTGTGTGTGTGTGTGTGTGTGTGTGTGTGTGTGCGCGCGCGCGCGTGTGTGTGTGTGTGCATGTGTGTGTGCGCGCGTGGGTGTGTTTCCATTTGTTGTGTGTGTGCGCGTGTGTGTGTGCGTGTGTGTGTGCGCGCGCGCGTGCGTGTGTTTCCATTTGTTGTTGCGTGTGTGTTTCTGTTTGTTGTTTAGTTTTTTTTGTTTTGTTTTTGTTTTTGTTTTTGTAGATCAGGCTGGCTTTAAACTCACAGAGATCAGACTGCCTTTGTCTCCTGAGTGCTGGGATTAAAGGCCTGTGTCACCCCCACCCCCAACTGGTGGGTTTTTAAAGACTATTCTAGAGCTGACAACATAGTCCACTAAGGATGGGCAGAAAGTATACCAACTGATGCTCTGTTTCATCTGCTGCCCTCGCTCTTTGGCTCCTCATAGGAATGCAGGAGTGACAAAGGTACAGAGCTGTTTCCTATCCTGTGGGGAATGAAGGTCCTCACATAGACAGCCCCGCAGGCATAGCTAGCGTGATCTCACACACAGACCTGAATATACCAAGATGCTTGGGTAGCTTCTTACCACACTCCAGGGAGAGTACTACCCAGACCATTTAGACAGGATCTCAAGTCTCCTGTCTCAGGGAGCCTCCAGGCCGATGGCAGAGAGTTCTGTGCACTCTCTCTGCTGAGTCTATCAGGGATGTCCACATTTTCTAAGAGTCCCAAAGTTAGCAGATACACAGCATTGTAAATACGGGCCAAGTCAGGATCAGGCTCTTCAGAGTCTGGAGAGAGGGGATGGCAGAGGAAGCAAGTTCCGGGACATCAGGAGAGGAGGACCATAAGGGGGACACACAAAGGCTAGGTATTAGGAGACCCCGTCCATAAAGCTAAGAAGAAGCTCCTGGGCTGTATGTAGTTCTGGGACTCAGGTGGGGAAGCGGTGGGCCCTGTGGTTCACACACCGTGGAGCGGCTTCTTCTTGGAACTCGTGTTTCTGTTCTAGCCCCTGGCGTCACACTGACCCTAATAGAGCACTTCCTCTGAGGCGATGGCTCCACTGTGAACCAACACCTCTTCTCTGGTTCTCCTGGCCCAGCGGAGACCAGCTGGAAGTTCGAGAGGCTTTATTAAACAATATTTGTTGAGTGAATAAGTATGAAGGAAGAACAGAAGGGGTATTAACGGATGATGTCCACAAGGGCTATAAATAGCCCAGCTCACGAGTCTAGGTTTCAGTCTGTCCTTGCCAGGGCTTGGCAGGCTCTGGCCTGGCTGGAACTCATTCTGCCATCACAGGAAGCGGTCGTCAAACCACATGACCCCTCAACAGCCCACCTAAGTGACCCTTTTCATCTTCCACACCTAGGACAATGACACTGAGAAAAGACTGTTGTAGAGGCATAGCTTCCCTTTGGTAGCTGCAGAGGTGCCTCTATTTCTTTAACCAAACCATTGGAAAGCAATCCAAGCCATGCTTTCTCCTACCCAGAATGCCCTGGGCAGGGCCAGGGTTCTGTAAACAGGCCACACAGCAGGTCCTGCTCTCCGCTCAAAGCCTCAGCGCTTGGGACTCTGTTTCGCAAGGATCTACTCTGCTACAACCACTTCCCGTCATGTCTCAGCTGTGCCCTATAGACCAAGCCAGGATTCTGGCTGCGCTGGCTATTCTATGCACTCCGTGGCCACCTCGATGGGAGGTATGGGAGGCAATGCCAGCTCCCAGAAGGCTGAAAGGCTAGCCACTCCTCTGCTCTGTCAACAGTGCCCCCTCCCATCACCACCCCTTCTGCCTTTGGACTTCCAAAGCAGTGCTGTTGCAGGTAATTAAAGGGTTTTAATTAAATTAGGATCCCATCTGGCTGGGATCAGTCAGGCCCTTAACGAGGATTGTGTGTCACCAACATCAGAATGTGTATGGGGACTTAGACACGTGAGGACTGAATTTGGGGCCTGGAGGCCCTTCTGATGGGGCAGAGAATCCTAAGCTCCCTGGGGCTCCCTGAAAAACAGAAGCAACTTGTGCCATTCCAGAAATGAGGCCAGGGGAGGGAGAGAGTGGCACTTCCCTTCTTGCCCGGGAGTCTATACACATTTCTAAGATGTGGTGAGATGTGCGGGCGTTGTCTTGGTTCTACAGATGAGGAGACCAAACTCTGACAGCACTGAAGTTCTCCAACACTAGATACAGCTCCAAGAAATGGAGACCCCTGGGCAAGCTGGGACGGGCTAGCCTGGGCTACATGAGAACCTGCTTCAGAAAAAAGAAAAGGAAATGGAGCCCTGAGGCAGAGGGGTAAAGATGGTGGGGTTTCCTTTTTCTGACATACAGAAGTCTGCAGGCAGCTTTGGGCTCTCAGGGACCTTATCTTCATCCAGCTGACCACTACGTCTTCCAGACAGTTGGGTCGATGGTGGGACAAAGAAGGAACAAGGATGAGCACCTCTATCTTTTTTTTTTTTTTTTTTTTTGATTTTCGAGACAGGGTTTCTCTGTATTGTTTTGGAGGCTGTCCTGGAACTCACTCTGTAGACCAGGCTGGCCTCGAACTCACAGAGATCCGCCTGCCTCTGCCTCCCGAGTGCTGGGATTAAAGGCGTGCACCACCAACGCCCGGCGAATACCTCTATCTTAAGATGCCTGAAACTAAAAAAAAAGCCGGGCATGGTGGCGCACCCCTTTAATCACATCGCTTGGGAGGCAGAGGCAGACAGATCTCTGTGAGTTCAAGACTGGTCTACAAGAGCTAGTTCCAGAACAGTCTCCAAAGCCACAGAGAAACCCTGTCTCAAAAGATGCCAAAAACTTACTGGATAATTTACTTAGCCTAAAGATCCCTGGCCAGAGCTCAGTCACATGACCAAATGTAGAAGGCAGGGTGTGTGGGGACAGAGGCAAAGAAATGTAGGATTATATCAAGCAGCTGTGTGCCCAAATAACAGCTGGGGGCCCCTATTACTAAGGAGGAAGGGGAAATAGATAGTGTATTCGTTCTCTTATTCCTATGACAACAACAAAAACTGATGCAGATGAAGGAAGGGTTTCTTTGCTTATTTTGGCTCACAGTTTGAAGAGACACAGTTCATCATGGCAGGGATGGGATGACTTCAGGAGCATGGGACAGCTGCTCACATTGCATCCACAAGAAGCAAAGAGTTGGACTCTGGTGTCCAGCTTCCTCTTTTCTTTGTATTCATTCTAGGACCCTATCCTACAGGATGGTCCTTCCCACATCCAGGGCCGATCTTCCTCCTCCAGTTAAGCCCCTCTGGAAACACCCTGTAGACACTACACAATGGTATAGCTGTGGCCCCTATACCGTTCTAAACCCAGTCAAGTTGACAAGGCAGATTAACCATCCCATATATTACAAGACAACCATTTCTGCCACAGGCATCATGTAACAGAACTAGAATAGGAATCCATGTTTCATTCTCCAACCTTGGGTCCTTTCACCCAACCACACAGAAAGAGGATGAAGTTTGCATAAAGCTATCTCCAAAAGCAAGGAGAGAGGTAACATTTGATGAACAACTTAATTTCCCCAGCAGTTCACCAAGGTAGGGAGAACTTTCATGTTTTCAAATAATGAGGCTCATGGTAACACAAGTCTTTGTTCCCAGCACTCAGGAGGCAGAATCAAGTGGACCTCTGAGTTCGAGGTCAGTCTGGTCTACTCAGCAAGTTCCAGGCCAGCCAAGGTAACATTGTGAGACCCTGTCTCAAAATATTCAAATAACCTGGGCAGTGGGGGCTCACACCTTTAATCCCAGCATTTGGGAGGCAGAGGCAGGCAAATCTCTGTGAGTTCAAGGCCAGCCTGGTCTACAGAGTAAGTTCCAGTACAGCCAGGACTACACAGAGAAACCTTGTCTCTAACAACAAAACAGAATTCAAATAAAGAGGTACTTGGAGGTGATCCTTTCTCCAAGGCCACCCAGATAACCCACCCCACAAGGGGGACCAGCTTGAGCTCCTGCATACACTTGGAAGCCTCTGGGGTTCAGGAGAAAGTAACATATTCCTTGAGACACCCATCCAGTTAGCTCTGAGATAATGAACTGAGAATCCTTGAGCTCTGAAACTGACTCCACTCATTGGATCAACTTTTAAAGCTTGGCAACAGGTCAACAGGAAACAAGGTCCCTGGTGAAACCAGAACTCAGCCCCTGCTGGACAAGTTGTAGGTATCTTGTGGTATTTGTGCCTTGGGGATATTGTCAGCTGCCTCTCCAGGACTTTGACATATTTGACAGGTGCCAATGCCACCCCTCCTTGCCTCTGCCTGGCGGGGCTAAAGGCGTTTCCTGTCACCTGTCACCCCAGCCCCCGGTTCTCCAGGCAGCACTGCAGAACTACAAGTCTTCGGAAGTAACATTTCTCTCTCCCACTCCCAGCCATTACATTGGATCACTTCCAACTGAGTCGCCCTCAACCCACTGCAAATGCCCACTCAATGATCCAAGTCCCCGATCACCCTACGACCTTCAGCTGCCTCCACCCCCACAAACCCCTTCCCCCAGCCTCCCTCTCCACCCACCCACCTTGTGCATCTCTGAGCAATGGTCCTCGCCACAGGAGCCTGCCACATGCAAGGTCATCAGCATTCCTGCCAAGGATGGGGAAGGGGGTGACTCAGTTCCCGCTTGCTCATCTAGGGAAGGAGAATGAAGGAGAGGGAGGAGAGACAGAGACCCATTCAGTTTTGCCTTAAGCTTCACCAGGAGGAGGACTCAGCTGTGCTGACCGTGGAGCCTCTGCTAACTCTCAGAGTACAGAGAAAGTTACTGTAGCAAACACAGGACCGCTGAAGCCAGGTAGCAGCGAAGGGCAAAGCAACTCCTGGTATCTTGGCACTCGGAAAAGAGTGCTTTTTCATCCACAGTACAATTCTTGCTGGTAGGCTTGCTCCAGGGGCTACACCCTATAGGAGAGACAAGACCCTTACCTAGTTGAGTGTGTGTGTTGGAGGGGTGGGCAGGACAGACCAGAAGCACAGTCCCCAAACAGCTTGAGAAGGTGTAGACTGACCTCAAGGGGCTGTGGGGAGGTCAAAGGACCCTGATTTTCTTCTCTTGAAGGGCTCCTTCAAGAAGAATCGGCCTTCTTTGGGTGCTCCCTAAGGCCAGACTGAGAGGACAGAGAGCTTTATGGAGCCTGAGGTCTGTCTCTCACAGGGAATGTCATGATGTTGCTCAGAAAGGCAGAGGTGGGTATCCTCTTAGCCCGGGAAGTTGAGTGGACCTGCTACCCTTGTGAGGATCAAGGGGGATCACAAACTACCTGAAAAGACTGATAGAGACCATAGGGCTCCTCCAAAGAACTAGGATTTGGAAAGCCATTTGTTAGCCATATCTGAGCTGAATTCAGCCTGGTTGCTGGGGAAGGCAGATAGGCAGGGAAGAGGAGTCAGAGTGTGCATGAGGGTGAAATGAAGTTATTAAAATGAACCCACCCCCTGTGCAGGCAGCACTGTGTGCCAGAAAGGCCGGGCCCTCCAGCTGTCGGCAGCAGCTGGCTCTCCACAGGGGAAGAGGAGTAGGAGGGGCAGGTCAGAGTGCCCCTGTACCCCCTCAAGTTCAGTGTTCACACAGAGGTGGGAATGGGGGTGCCTCACAGGTCCTTCTGCTGCAGCTACACCCCACAGGTGCCCTGGGACAGTGTCTGATGAGAACCCTCCAGATTCTAGCAGCCAAGGTTTCTCTTGGCAGGGGTGGAGGATTGGGAGGGGGCAAGCCCAAGCCCCTCTGGCTGTAGTCCCTGGTACAGAGGGAGAAAGCTGTGTCGGGCATCAGAAGAAATGGCTTCAGGATGATTCAGGGCATAGCTGGAAAGGAGGTCTGTCCCCCCTTCCCCCTGCCTTCTTGCTTTCTAGGTCATTTCACATACAGAGGGGCTGCAACCAGGTGACTGTGTGCTGCAGTGTGTAAGCGTGGACCATCTGGGCTCAGAGCCAGTGGGCAGAGGGCAAAGACCGGAAGATGTCAGGCCCCTGCCCTCATTCTAGGACTCTCCACATTATGGCTACACTTCCAAAAGGAACCTCTGGACCTGAGTGCTGACCTACAAAGTGAGTAGACCCAGAATGGCCTCCAGAAGGGACATCATGGTGGGGGCTCCATCCTCCCCTTCACCTGAGTCCCCAAAGTCAAGGGCCCTTGCCTGGGCATCTCCAGCAGGAGGACAAAGTGACTGCTCTCATGCTCTGTTTGTCCCCATGCCACCTTAGTCCGTTCCTTTTCTCCCAAGAGGCAGATGGGAGTCACAGTTGGAGAGAGCAGAGACTCCTCATCCTCTGGAGCTGGAGCCAAGTTTGCTTAGAGGTCACTGGGCAGTTCTCAAAGTCTCTCAGCATCCACCCAGGCCCAGGGCCCAGACCCTACCCATTCCTGCTGAGTTAGGGGGGAGCCTGAAGGCATTAGGAGCACCAGCCCTAGGTGATTCTCATGGGTGCTGTATGATACAGAGGGAGAAACAGGACGAGGCTGCTGAGGACAGTGAACTTGACCAGGCCATTAAACAAACAAACAAACAAGACAATGGCAGAGATGGGACACCCTAGGGCATCTTCCACTACCCCATGCAGGGCCAGAGATGATAATTCAGTGAGGACTAGGGGAGGAAGATTTGGTCCAAACTTCTTTTACTGGCTCTTACCCCAAGCTGCCCCTTCAGGTACCATGCCCAGCCCCAAAAGTGTTTGTTTGGGTCTCTGGTCCTCAATCTGTTTGCCTGCAAAGAATGTAAGAGAAGGCAGCCCCAAAGCCCCAAGGAGCCCCAACTCCAAGAGGTTTGCAGCTTTGATCCCCATTTGGAAAATGCTAACCAGACGGGGGCCCAGGTCCCTCTCCCTTGGATAACTCAGAATGCGGTGCCCTGGGAAATCTTTATTCCCTGCTCCAAGGACAAGACTCTGCACACGGAAGTGACAGGGCATTTCACAAGACTTCCCACCCCTCCCCCCACCCCACAGACAACACTAGGGCACAGTTCCAGCATGGCCACACAGTCCAGCCTCCTGAGCCCCATTCTGCTGATAGCCCCATGGCCCAGAGAAGGAGTCCCCACCCCTGTTTGGAATGCCCTGTCTGACATGAAGAGCTGGCTGTTGGGAGCACTCTCAGCGGGGTTAGGGCAGAGGTGGGCACACAGCACATGGGCAGGTTTCTGCTTATGCCCTTCACACTAGGAGGACGGAGTAGTCCTGTCTGGGTGAAGGACGGGCTGGTGTGCCATCGGCAAGGGGTGACGGCAGCGCAGAGTGCTGGAGGGAGAGGGGATTTCGGAACGGGTGGCCTGGCTGGTGACAGGTAGTCAGGACAGCAAAGACCTCAGGATGGGGATGAGCTCACCACTTCAGTCTCGGTGCAGGAAAGGGGCTCGGGGATGCCCATGGGGGAAGTCACTGAGCCAATCTGTCCTAAGCTGTCTATCTGGCCTACACAGTTGGACAACCCTTTGTCGACTGCTGCCCTCTTTCTGAATGACAAGGAGACAGCCAAGGGTTAAGGTCTTCTCGTGGCTTGATCTGGGGCCACCTGGCCTGCCTGCCCAGGGGCCTCAGAGTCCAGCATCAGCTTTGGACCAGAGTGAAAGCTCTGTGAGGCTGCCCAGAGCCCATTCCTCCTCCATAACAAGTACACTCTCACCTCAGGTCGGGACCAGCCCTGGGGACCCTTCCCTAACACCTGAGGCCTAGCCCTGGCCCACCTGGCCTCTCGTCCTCTCCGAGCCCTCCCTTCCTGAGACCCATCCCTTCCCTGCCCAGGGTCCAGACAGCTGGCCTCCTGCACAGGCCTGTGTGGCCCATCTAGGTCACCCAGATGGGTAGTAGGGGGTATCGCTGTGGTAGTTGTAATCTGGGCACACCTTCTGCACCAGCCTATAGTCTGTGCTGTAGAAAGCAATGTAGACACACACGACTTTGAAGGGCTGGGAGCAGCTCCAGGTGGCCGAGCTCTGAGCGTGGTCTCGAGAACAGATCTTGGCTGGGTCATGGGTACAGAGCGAGGTCCGGCGGCCCCGTTCAATCTTCTCCCACTCCATCCGGCAGTTGAAGATTTTGGAGGCCTTGGCTTCGATGAAGATTTGCTGTTCCTGGTGGAACTCTACAGCTTTGCTGGGGGGTACAAGGCTGATGGAGATGTTACCCTGGCCTGTGGCATTGTGACGGAAGTGGACGCTGAAGGTCCCGTTGCCGTGGTCCACGATCTTTCCTGTGACCAGCAGGTTCAGAGCCACTGTCTTGATATTGGAGTAGAAATCGCCCCATCCAAATATTTTTTTCACCTTGGTCGAGGGTAGGGAGCTTTGCTTGGGGCGGTTGGGGGGCTGCCCAAGGACACCCCAAGCCTCCCCGGGTGGGGCCAGCAGCCCTAGGAGGGTGGAGTTGGCCAAGGGGCGGGACTTAGGTGAGATGTGACCTCGCTTCCGAGGCACCCTAGGCCGAGGCTGGCCCTCATGGTCGTCATGCTCAGGGTCCTCTGAGCCAGGGGGGCCATCGTCTTGGCCACAGATGACCTATGGAGGGATTTGGAAAGAGAATTAGAGCTTTGTCCACAGAGGACCCAGGAGATTTGAGATCTGGCCCTATCACCCTGTGGCTATCTTCATGGTCTCTGCCTGTCCGACCGGGACTAGGGGGCACCTGCTTGTTCCCTGTGTTGTACTCACATGTACACACTGGCTCTCTCGTGATCAACTCTCGTGTTCTGATACATCAGTCACTACAGCCCTGCCTCTGGCAGCTACCCAGAACCTATGATGGTCAAGAAGTGTCTCCCCTAGGACTAGGTCTCTTCTCCAGATAAGCCCATCAGGTGGGAAGAGCTCAGCTTCTTTTTTTTGTTTGTTTGTTTTTTGTTTTTCGATACAGGGTTTCTCTGTGTAACAGTCCTGGCTGTCCTGGAACTCCATTTGTAGACTGGGCTGGCCTTGAATTCACTGAGCTCTGCCTGCCTCTCCCCACCCAAATGCTGGCATTAAAGGTGTGTGCCACCATTGCCCCGTCAAGGCTCAGCTTCTGATCTTGCAGAAGTCCCCAGTGTGAAGACGAGGTAGAATTCCTACCCTTGAAATGACCGAGATGCCAGGGAGGCACCATTTGTGTCCTCCAGGAGTCCTTCACCTGGAGTTAAGGAGTCGCAAGTTATTTGGGGAGCCCCATCCCTACCTTAGGAGCTCCCTGTGTCAGCACACACCCATCTCATGCTGTTTAAGACATTTTAGTCTTCCGGCTGAGACACCATTCCTAGCCTAGGAAAACTACTGGCTTCAAAGTCAAAGACAGCCTATAGACCACAAAATAAGAATTCAGAACACAGTGACAGTCCTGGGCAGGTACCAATCTGGTTCAGGATTTGCTAAGACTAGGAGACCCAGGTGCGAATGCCACACCCAGGATGGCCAGCTCGTGGAAGCTTCTCTGGGGAGCCCTGGTGATGACACGCCAAGACGGCACTTGCATGATGAGGGACCAGTTCTTGTGAATCCCATTTCACAGTGAGGACATCAGGATACGCAGGTTACATCACCACAAGACACGGGCCACAAGTGTCCCATCACCAGTCACAGACCCGGTGTACCTTTTCTGAAGCTCTGTTTCCACCTGGTGTCTCCTGTCAAACGCTGCCAGGGCTTTCTCGCCTCGGCAGGCTCAGCTATGGTGACAGGCCACACCTTGGGGAGGCTTCCTGGAGAAGGGTGGAACAAGCCAGCAGGGGAGGTTACCTAACTCCCTAGACTCAATGGCCTGGATGTGTTTGCTCAGTTTCTGGAACCGAGTTCTCACCAGTGTGTCTATGTCACCAGCGACAGACACCAGCTCAACTACAACATCTGGATTGATGATGACATGGGTGGGGCTGAGGGATTCCTGAGGAGCCGGGATGGGAGGTTCCAAAAGGGTTTAGTCTTTATGCCTCTTGCTCAGGCCTTGGCTGTGCCCGTGGCTGTGTGCTATGACCAACCCAGTATCTGTCCCAAGGCTAAGGCTGTCCCTGCTTTCCAGGTTCCCAGTGTCCCCGGGGTAAGGATAGGCAGGCAGGGAGGCTCCGAGGGCTGGGTCCAAGGTTGCCCACTTGTTCATACCTGGCTCTAGGGTTTAATTGAATGGTTGAGATAGTCAATAGCTCAGTAGTGATCAGGGCCACAGGTAAGGGCCAAGCAGGGAAGGCTTCCTTTCCCACAGAGGACGGGGGTGGGAGGGTCGCTGTCAACGGTAATTGTTTTGAGGAAGGGGCAGTTCTAGGGGTGCTGAGGCTTCTCTAGGACAGGATTGGGGTCAGGGGCAGATGTGGGACGCCGGGCATGGGTCGCGAGGGAGTTAAGCTCTGGGCTAGGGTCCGGGGTGGGGTTCCAGGGCATCCTGGGTCGCTCTCGAGCGGGCTCTGGGCGCTCAGCTCAGCTGCTATGAGCGCCTGGGGCGGGAGCCGCCTGCCCAGGTCCTGTGGGGCTCGGGCTGCGCGCAGCCGGGAGAGGCGAGGAAAACAACAGGCGAGGAGGGAGGGAGCGGGAGGGACGGCGGGAGGAAGGGACGCGGGGGCCGTCCCCAGTCCGCCCGGGCACGGCGCGCCAGGGCCCACAGTTTGGGGTTCTCTGGGCCCCAGAGGTCAGAGGAGAAACCTGCGTCCCCTGATCGGGCAGGTCACCTGCCCCACCCCCGTTCCGCGCGTCCTGGGATGCTGCGAGAGGTCGGGTAATCCTTGGCGACTCAGCTCCGAGGGGCTTTTTCCCTAGTGTCACTCGCACCTCGCGCCATCAGCCGCGGAGTGGGTGGGCCAGCCAAGCACCCTCCTCCCCGCCCCTATTAACCCTTCCTGTCCGGCCTCCGGCCTCGGACCCGCCCTCTCCCCCTGTCTCCAGCTTTCGCCCGCATCCCCGGGATGCTAGGGTGAGGGTGGGGGGGGGGGGGGGGGAGAAAGTTTCAGGGCTCCGCAGCTTCCCGCGCTCTCCCCATCCTCTGGCCCCCGCCCTGCGCCGCTCCCCGCGGACCACTCACCAGATAGAGGCTGCCCTGCACTAGGAACACGAAGCAGCAGCGGGTCAGTTGCATCTTCCTCCTCCGCTTTCACCCGTCTCTCTTTTTCTTTTCGGGGTCCCAGTCCCCCTCTTCCCTGGACTGCTCCTTCAGGCGCGCTGCCCCATGCTCCCGTCCCCGGTGGTTCGCGGCCCTCCCCTCAGCCCGTCGCTGGGACCGACCCCGCCCCCCTTCGGTCCAGCTGTGTAGCCGCCGCCCCCTCCCCGCGTCCAGCTGCGCGCTGCGCGGTCCCTTCTCCGGGTCCCAGGTGTGAGCCCGGAGCGTCTCGAAGGGGCTCCGGCTGCGCGGCGGCTGTGCCTCTCCAGACAGGCGCTCGGCGCCCCACTCGCTTCCAGAGGCTCGGCTCTCGCCCAGATGTGCTGGGGACCTGCGCGCGCGCCCGTCCCCGGTGCTAATTCCCCAGACCAGACGGCCCCTCCCGCCCCGTCGCGGCGCGCCCCCTGGCGGACGCCCCGGGCCAAGCCGAGCCGCGGCCGCCCGCTCCCCGCGCTGCGCCCCGCCAGACTGGAGCGCTCCTGGCGCCCAGGCGGCTCCCGCTTCCTCGTCCCTCCCACTGGCGGCGGCGGCGGCGGCAGGTACCGTGAGCCCAGTCGGTACCTCCGGAGTTAACTCCTCCCCTGCCGGCCCGCAGTCTGGGGACCTGCGACGCCGACTTTCCAGCGTAGGGGACAGGAGGTGGGCGGAGGAGCTCTGGGAGAGGAGGCGAGAGGCTGCAAGACCGCCGATGGGGACACCAGCTTTTTCGCCCTTCTGGCAGCGCGCCTTATTTTCTGTTGCGGGCTTCGGGGATCTGACGCCCTATCTACACCTACCCCAAGGAGTTCTGGAATTTGGAAAGACAATTCTGCCCAAACCCGTTTTAAGGGTGCAAGGATATCAACAGCGGGTCACAGCTTCTGGTCCCTGCAAGACTTGAGGGTGCTGAAGGAAGTTCTTCTAAGTGTCTAGCTTGTACCCCTTTTCTTAGCAAGGCCGTTCATTTTCTTCCTCAGAGCAATCATTATGAAGCTTTTGGCTGAGGCGCTGACCTGAAGAGACCACTAGGGGCCAGGCTGGATTCTGGGGTTGGGGTAAGGGCTGCCTCCTGAGAAACAGAGGAGTGATGGGAATAGGAGGCTTCCCTCCTATTCTCTACGACGACACAGGTGCTCGCCAGGCTAAGTAGGGTCTCACCCCAGTGGGGTCCCACGTTGCTCTTGTCCCTTCAGATCTCCAGGGCAAGAAGGACTAACCAAACAAGAGACGCCCAAAGGTGCAGGACCACCTTCCATCACTCCCTCTTTTAATGGCTGGACCTTCCTTCCTAGCTCTCTAGAACTCCTTTAGCCTTGAGAAAAACAAAAGGTCTCATCCCCCTACCCACTGGAGGCATTTGGAGTGGCCCCGGCCTAGGCTGGGCTGGTGGTGGGCTCTCCCCACTCTCCCTGGGGCCCCTCTGAGACCCAGTGTGGTCTCTGACTGCAGCCCCCAGCTCATACCCAGCCTCCTCCCCCACCATCTGCCAGGCGTTGTGCTAGGAATGCAGATGAATCTTAATATCAGCCTGGGCCAAGTACAAAGAGGAAGAGACTGCAGAAGGAGATACTCTGGATGAGTCCCTGGTCTCCTGGGTGCCCTGGGCCGTTCCTGTGTGTGTGTGTGTGTGTGTGTGTGTGTGTGTGTGTGTGTGTGTGTGTGTGTGTGTGTGATCCCCAAAGCTGGGGACGGGGTGGGGGGAAGAAGCAGGTAAATTTTTGTGTGGCGGTAGAGCCTCTGTCCAGTTGGGAGAAAGATGCTGTCTGTCTGAGCGTGGGCAGCTGGTTACCACTCTCCGCTAGGCAGAGGTGTAGCTGGGCCCACTCCTTGCCCGTCCCATGTTCTGCCCCCAGGACAGCAGTGGCGCCCAGCAGCAGGACTACTGTTTTCAGGGCAGACAGTCTTAGACTCCACTCCAGACCCCTACACACTGTGTGACCTTGGATAGGTTACTCCCATCCTCTGATGTCGGTTTTCAGATCTGTCATTTAGAGAAGGAGAGAAGACACAATGTAAACCCAGTGCGAGCGCCGTGGCTAGCGGGCATCGTGGGGGTGCAGTAAACGGAAGGGTTCGCTTTTGCACTGCCCACACATTTGCTCGGCTCTTCTTCCTGCCAGGATCACCCTCCCTCCCCTCTTGGACACTCCTGGCTCCCACTTCCTTCAACTTTCTTCTTAGCCTTCATCCATCAGCAACTGGCGGGGCCTGTCCTCGGTACCAGGCACCAGGCCAGAGCCTCGGCTGCAGAGATGAATGGGACACCATCCCTGCCCTCAAGGATCTCCTGGCCCTGTGTGTGAAAATCGATCATTATAACCCACTGCCGTGGGCGCAATGACACAGTCCCCATAAAACCTGAGGATGCACCAGGAAAGGTGGGGGAGGGACAGGAAGGTCAGGGCTGACTTTCTAAGGGCAGTCACGTCTAGGAGGTCCGGAGGAGTAGGTCTGTCCAGGGCTATCCTAGTAGGGGCTGCAGGAAGCTAGGAATGAAAGCAGCTTGCTGTTCTGGGAGTGCTTCCTCCAGGGGAAGACCAGAGGCGGGGATCAGCCATAGGAGGCTTACATGTCAGCTGAAGGGTCCAGACTCATGTTTGTGGGGCGCTTTGGAAGGGTTTTGAGGGACTGGCTACAGTCCAGCTTGCATTTTGGACAGCTTTGGTTGAATTCACTAGATAGGGGGGGAGCAATTAGAAGCTCAGGGTTGGGGGCCTGAAGACATCAGCTGGCAAACCTGGAAAATAAAACCAGCCAGACTTTGGCTGTTGCTGGGGTGCTGGATGCAGGGACGATGGTGCCAGGCAGCTGGGCTGGGGGTGGGGTGGGGAGTACAGGCGAGGAGGTGGGGGTGGTGCCCTGGTGGACAGAGCAGGATGCCTTGGAGGAATTCAGCTTTGGCTGTGACATACATATCTCTGTGCTGCTGTTGGTCATCAAAGGGTACCAGAAAGTCTGTCCTGGGGTGTGGAGGGTGTTGGAGAAGTTGTAGGCACAGGAGGAGGAGTCCCTGACAGTCTGACATTTAAAAAGTAGGCAAAGAAAGAAAATTCCCAGGTGCTCATGGGCAGAGTAGGCAATCAGGAGCCAGGTGCGCCATGAGGCTCTCTCTCACCTGAGTGTGCCAAGAGAAGGGCGGAGTGACAGCCTCCACACAGGCCCCAAGTTTCCTCACTGGGGGAGCAGGAACCCAGTACTGCATATTTTTACAAGCCCCTAACCCCCAACCAGGGGACACAGAGTAAAGTGGCCTCTATCACTCTAAGAATATGGATGGAGGGGCTGGAGAGATGGCTCAGTGGTTAAGGGCACTGACTGCCCTCTGGAAGGACCCAGGTTCAATTCCCAGCACCCACATGGCAGCTCACAACTGTCTCTAAGTCAGTTCCAGTTCCAATACACAAGAAATAAAATTAAATAAATTATAAAAAATATGAATGGGCCGGGCGGTGGTGGCGCACGCCTTTAATCCCAGCACTCGGGAGGCAGAGGCAGGCGGATCTCTGTGAGTTCGAGGCCAGGCTGGACCGACAGCCTCCAAAACAATACAGAGAAGCCCTGTCTCGTAAAACCAACAAAATAAAAAATAAAAAAATATGAATGGAACTCTGTTGGTAGAAAGCTTGCCTAGCATACATAAAGCCCTGAGTTCCGTCTCTAGCATCCCATAAGCAAGGCATGATGGCACACACCTGTAATTCCAGCACTTGGGAGCTGGAGGCAGGAAGATCAGATGTTTAAGGCTACCCTCAACTGCATAGTGATTTTGGCTTTTTTTTTTTTTTTTGTTCACGTTTGCCTGCATGTATGTTTGTGCTCTACCTGTTTACCTGGTGCCTGGAGAGGCCAGAAGAGGGCATTAGATCCCTGGAACTGGAGTTACAGACAGTTGTAAGCTGCTGTGTGGGTGATGGGAATTGAACTTCAGTCCTCTGGAAGAGCAGCTGGTATTTTTATTTGTTTGTTTGTTCGTTTGTTTGTTGTTTTTTTTGAGATGGTTTCTCTGTGTAGCTTTGGAGCCTGTCCTGGAACTCACTCTGTAGACCAGGCTAGTCTTGAACTTACAGAGATCTGCCTGCCTCTCCTGCCTCTGTCTCTATTTTTAGTGTTTTGTTGTTGTTGTTGTTTTGTTTGTGTTTTGAGGCAAGGTTTCACAATGTAGCTGTGGCTGACCTGAAGCTGGCTATGTAGATGAGACTAGGCTCAAACCCTCCGAGATCCTCCTGCCTTGGCTTCTCCTGTGTTGGATTAAAGGCAGATGCCACCCTGCCAACTCCATAGCTGTTCTTAGCCACTGAGCCATTTCTCCAACCCCCACATAGTGATTCTGAAGCCATCCCTGGTTACCCGAGACCATATCTCAAGTAGAAGAAAGACTGGGTGTTGTGGTGCACACCTTTGAGCCCATCACTTGGGAGGATGAGGCAGGCAGATCTCTATGAGTTTGAGGCCAGCTTGGTCTATGTAGCAAAACCCGTCTAAAAGGAAAGAAAGGGAAAACCCTGTTATGCGGAATGCTGGAAAGGAGGGATTACCCACAGAGCAAAAGAACAAAGGAATGCTGGGAAAGGAAGGGTCATCGGAAGTCCAGCAGCATCCAGCGGGAAGACAGGTCACTGACACAGCGCTCTCTGTGCACGTAGCGCCATGGTGGTGACGTAGGTGGTCATTCCCAAGGTGTGTCTGTCTCTCAGGGCCACATCTGTGTGCCCGAGTCCTTTCCATTGCATCCCTTGCACACAGTAGGTACTCAATGAAGGGGCGGCAGCTGAGAGGCCAAGGCCTGCAACCTCCAACCCCCTCTGCACACAGATGCTCCAACCCCCTCTGCACACAGACGCTCCCGGCCCAGCATGTGCTCATCACCTCCTTGTACTCTTGCCTGCTTCTGGAAGAGTCCTCTGTGTACTCCTTCCTCCTTGCAGCCCCAGTGCGGCCCCGGCAAAATGGTGGCACGGTGGGCCCCTGAGGGTGCCCTGCCAGTGAGCGGGAGGTAGAGCTCCTGACTGAAAGGCAGACAGACAGTGGCTGCCCTTCAACCTGTAGTGGTCTGAGGGAGAGGAAAGGCTAGCTCATAGTTGGTAATAGTCTTTCCCGTTTAGCTGGCAATTTGCAATTGTAAAGAGCTGGGATAGAGAGTTATGTATTGGGGAGGCCCAGGGGGGGAATCCCAAACTTAAATGGGGGGCCGACCCTGGATCCCAGAGAGATGAGCAGGAAGTGATAAGATATGTGGGGCAGTGGGGGAGGGGAGAACCTTCTAGACAGATGAAGCAGATCGAGGAAAAGCCGCAGATGAAAGACAGCCCAGGAGTGGGGTGCCGAGGGGGCCCGGATGAAAGACAGCCCAGGGGTGGGGTGCCGAGGGGCCCGGATGAAAGAGCCATTTGTTCCGTGAATAGTTATCAAGTGTCTACTTTTATGTCAGGTCCTGGCTGGTGTGCAGTGTGGATCTGGACAGGAGACCGTAGTTCTCATTTGCATGGAGAATGTGAACCGGGAGATGTAAGAGGGGAAGGCCCAGGCTCTCCCCAGAGATAGGAAGGGAGAAGGGCCATAATTTACCTGTGGTCCAAGGATGAGGGGGCCTGGGGCTGTCAGAGGCCAGGGGTGGGTCTTCTAGGCAAAGGGGCTAAATCTCCGGAGCCTACGGAAGCCTTAAGAAGGGAACAGACTGGAGGAGGCAGACAGGAAGTGGGAGCCCAGGGAAGGGGGGCAGGGGCAGGCTGTGACGGGGTGTGAGTGCAGACCTCTGGGTCTCACTGGATGGCTCATGAGTACTCATGTTGACTTTACACTCTGGAGACAGCATCCTGAAGAGCATCCTGGTCTTTGTAAGGGGCGGAGCTGAGGGCTGGGGGGAATGTTGGAGCCTGGAGGTGATGGTAGCCTGAATTAGGTCAGAGGCCTCGGGCTGTGAGGGAAGGGGTAGTGGGGACGAGAGAGGGTGGCTCTGAAGAGTGTCCAAGGGAAGGACGGAGGAGTTCAATTCAATAATAGATGTCAGAATCGGTCCCCAGCTCTGTGTGGGGGGAACACAGGTGTGGGACGAGCCTGCGGGCAGTTGGAACTCAGGTACGGTGAAAATGATGACAGTGGAGGTCAGACTGCAGCGAGCGAGCAGACCGAGCCTGGTCTCACCAGAGTGAGAGTGGATTGCTGACAAAGGGCAGCGCTCCAGGGCGGGTGCACAGTGGGACCACAGTGCCTGCTGTGCAGGAAGTAATGAGAAAGAAAGAGAGGACCGCAGTGGCCCTTGGACTTGAAAAGCCCCGGGGGAGGCTGCTAAAGTCCCGGACTGTGCATGCCTTAGGCTGCAGGGAGCGGGAGGTTACTTCAGGTGCCTCACAAGCCTTCACCATCCAAAGAGACCTTTCCCTGGGATAAAGCATAGTCCATTTGCTCTGGTTAGGCGTCTGGCTCTGAGGCCCACCCCTCGCCATCTTGGTTGATCTCTCCCCTCCCTAGATTTCAGCTTCTTAAGGATGTGGAGAGCTTCAGCCTCCCTCTCTCCCGGTCTTTGTCTGATGTAGCTGGTGAAAGTGCTTTGTAAACAGAACAAAAGGAGTGCCGGGGACCTTTCCCATTGCATTTCAGCATCTTGGGAAGTGAAGAGTGAGGAGGAGAAAATAGGCATCTGGCAAGGAGCCAACACCTGGCACCAGGTCAGTGGCAACCCCCTCAGCCACCTGTCTGCTGGACCCAAGTCACTGTGGTTAATGAGAGCCTTACAGGGGGCGATGGTGAGACTGAGCGCGGGTGTGGTGCAAAGATGCCTGTGGCGCTGTGCGTCACCTGGTGGCCAGTCTGGGAAAGGCAAGGCCCCCTTGCCGCCGGCGGCGGTGTAGTGCCTGCCTACTGCCCCTCACAGACAGAAAAATGAACGGCCATCACATAGGCGTGAAGGCAGGAGAACATGTCTAGTTCGAGGTCACCTTAGGTCACATGAACTCCTGTGCCCTACATGCCCCCCAAAATGGTAGGGACGGGGGTGCGGTGCACCTGAGCTCCAAAGACAGATCGCCTGGTCCCTAGCCTGGATTATTCACCATCTTGGGCCGGCTATTTCACCTCTGTGCTCTTCTGTAATAATTATGTCGGACAGACAGAAAGTGCTCAATGAGTGCTAGCTATTGTAATATTCCGATTTGTTATCCGAGCACAGGATTCCAAGTGAGGGAGGCATGCTGTCGATGGCTGGCTTTTGGGAAGACGGTGGGTGGACGGATCCACTCGTACATCTTGAGGCTGGGGCGCACACAGCCGCAGGCTTGTCATTGTGAAAAGGATCACCTGAGACGAGGAATGTTACTTTCTTTGCACGGAGAGGACGCGGGGCTTCCGGGGTCCTCAAGCAAATCTAGTCCCCAGGGCCGTCGGTTTTCCTCGTGGATTGCAGCCACAGCAGCCCGAATTCAGGGACTCGAGGATCTTTGAACCCCCGCTGAACCTTGTTGTCAGAACCCCGAGTGGCAGCTGTTTCCACAGATCGATTCTTGTCACCTGCGAGGCCTGTCCAGGAGCTTCTACAATTCTGGGGGCCACTCCCCGGGAGAGCCGACGAGCCTGGCTGCGCCTTCCATTTCCAGACCTGTAGCGACGCCTGGCGACCAAAGGAAGAATAACTGCGGTCATCTGCGCGCTTTTGCCTGCTAGCTGAGGGGCCCTTCTGGGTGGGGTCCTGCTGGGCACCCTGTTGGGCCAAGGGAAGCAGCAGACACTTCCTTGGGATCCTGGAGTCACAAGGGCTCCCCAGAGTAGCCTTGACTGGGCCTTCTACTGGCCAGATGACCATTGAATTCCTAATCCCATCCAAGACCTGGCAGAGGGGATTAGGGGCCCCAGGAAGGAGCAGGGCTGACTGTGGGTGGTAGCCAGAGACCTCAGGTCCTCAAAGAGAAGGATTTCCACTTTTCGACTCTATAAATTATTTGGGGTCATCATTGTTCCCTTTCTGGCAATTCCAGCCTGGCCTAGTTTTGTTTTGTTGTTGGGTTTTTTTTTTCTTTCTGTTGCTATGATACACACCACGATCAAAAAGTGACTTGGGGAGGAAAGGGTCTATTTTATCTAACCCTTCCGGGTCGCCGTCCACCACTGAGAGAAGTCAGGGCAAAAATCGCAGAGGAATGCTGCTTACTGGCTTGCTCCCTGGGTTCGTGTCCAGCTATCTTATACAGCACGACCGTTTGCCCATGGGTGGCTCCCCCCACCCATAGTGAGTGGGTTCCTCTTACACAGATTATTAATCAAGAAAATGCTTACAGGCCAGCCTGATGGAGGCGGTTTTCAGCTGAGCTTCCCTCTTCTCACGGACCCAAAGTCTGTGTCAAGTTGACAAAAATCTAGCGCACAGCCCCTAAAGGTTTCAGTGACAGTGCGTGGGGACAAAGGCGGATGAGCTTATTTACACCACAGCCTGCAAAAGACCCCAGTCCAGGGCTGCTTGGCCTGGCAGCTGCAGCCACGAGGCCTAAGGGACGAGCAGAGGATCGAGGGAGGGGCCGCAGGAAGGACCCAGACACCTGGACCCGGCTTTTCTGCCTCTGATCAGTCCTGGGCACCATGGGAGTGTGGCCACCAACACCCATTTCATGCCAACTCAGCACCCTCCTGCCGGGCCCCCGCAGTTGGTGGAAGGCCAGTCTACACTCTCCTGCTAAGCCAGGCCCTTGTCTCTGCTCCTTCCAGCTCTTGTATCAAATCCAAGACAGGGCAGGCTGTAGGACTCCCCTGCTGGTCACAGGGTGGGGTGTGTGTGTGCTGTCTGGTTTGCCCCCCCCCCAGCCTTTTCCAACCCAAGCAAGAGGGAGTCAGAGTTTGGAAACGCAATCAGAGGGGTGGGCTCATGTAGTCGTCTTCCTGATGTCTGGAACTTGCCAAGTCAAGTTAGTAAACATTGTTTGCATTTTCTCATCTCTCTGTCCAACCCAAAGTGACAGGTTCCACCCACTATTGCCACATGTTACCTGTGAGAGCACCAAGGAAGGATGAGACAAAGGCCCCAAGAACCATATTCTTATTTTTTAAACCAAGTGTAGGCATGTGTGTGTGTATGTGTGTGTACATGTGTGTGCATGTGTGTGTGCATGTCTGTGTGTGTGCATGTGTGTGTGTGCATGTGTGTGTGTGCATGTGTGTGTCTGCATGTGTGTGTGTGCATGTGTGTGTGTCTGCATGTGTGTGTGCATGGAATGCAGGTTTCTGGGGAGCGAGAGGTGTCAGATCCCCTGTAGCTGGAGCTACAGATGTGATCTGCCTCGTGGGTGATGGGAACTGAACTCTGATCCTCTTCAAGAGCTGTTCCTGTTCTAACCGCTGAGCCATCTCTGCACCACAGAATAGATATCTTACGGTTTTACATTTGTTTTATTTATGGCAAGGGGTATTGATTTTTCCACTTATGACACAAGGTATCCCTTCATTCACTCACCGACATTAATTATTTAATGTGTCTGCGTGTTTTGCCTTTATGTATGTTAAAGGTAATTTGTTGGGGCTGGGCATATGGTGAAAGTAGACTCCCAGTACCTGGAGGCTGAAGCAAGCCTGGAGTTTGAGCCCAGCCTAGACTCCCGGGGCCCCATCCCAACAAGTAAGAAGAAACAATCAAAACAAAAATTAACGTTGTTTGGAAACAGCAGTGCTTAACTCAAAGACAAGTGCTAGGTTCCTGGCAGCATGGGCATGTGTGTGCTCGCACACAGACACGCACACAGACGCGCACACAGACACGCACACAGGCTCGCACACAGGCTCGCACACAGACACGCACACAGACACGCACACAGGCTCGCACACAGACACGCACACAGGCTCGCACACAGACACGCACACAGACACGCACACAGGCTCGCACACAGACACGCACACAGGCTCGCACACAGACACGCACACAGGCTCACACACAGACACGCACACAGACATGCACACAGGCTCGCACACAGACACGCACACAGGCTCGCACACAGACACGCACACAGGCTCACACACAGACACGCACACAGACACGCACACAGGCTCACACACAGACACGCACACAGACATGCACACAGGCTCGCACACAGACACGCACACAGACACGCACACAGACACGCACACAGACACGCACACAGGCTCGCACACAGACACGCACACAGACACGCACACAGGCTCGCACACAGACACGCACACAGGCTCGCAGACACTGGCACACACAAGCAGCACATACACACAAAGGCACACACACATGAGCATACACACGCGGACACACACTCGAGCATACACATACACACACACGCACACACACATGTGCAGACATGATGTGGGCGTGTCAGAGTAGTCCCTGCTTCTCAGGAGACAGGAGGTCTTTAGCTGCTGTATTCATTTCTTTTCCTGTTGTTTTGTCAAATTCTTTAATAAAAAGCTTCTCCAGGGCTTATGTTGGCTCAGGTTTGAGAGCTGGGGTCATCCCTGTAGGGAGCTATGGCAACCCTAGCTGTGGCAGCGGAGTGGAAGATGGCTGGATGTGTTTGCCTTCGTGGTCAGGAAGCAGAGAGTGGACGCCTGTGCTCAGCTCCGTTTTCAGCTTTTTGTTCAGTCTGGAACCCCAGCCCAGGGGACCCTATGTTCCACCCAGACTGGGTCTTCCATCTTCAGTTAACCCTCACAGACACACCCAAAGGTGTGGCTCCACAGTGACTTGCTTCTGGATGCTCGGACCTTGCTCATCCAGACATCTCAGCCCCCCTCCGCCCACTGCCTCTGCACCATTTCCAGCCCTTACCAGGTCCTCTCTGATCTTGTCACACCGTGCCCTTTACCTGACCCCTTCCTCTGCTTGGCTGGTGGGCACACACCTGCTCACCCTTGGAGGCAAAACCTAGTTGAGAACTTGATTATTTCCAAGGCTTTTCTTTTCATTACAGGGTTACATAAGTCCATTTTCATGCAAGCATATAATTAGATAATTATATAACGTATTCTGAGTATTTCCTCACCTTCCTCCAATACACGCTTCTGTCTCAATACCACCAGTATTGTTCATTTACACAGTTCCATTTCTGCTTTCGTGTCAGCTATACATACGATTTTATGCACCTGTACAATTAGACCACAGACACTAGAAAATGTGGTATTTGTCTCAGACTGACAGTTCTTTAATATGACTATCCAATATCCATTTTTCCATGAAAACAACCCCATTCTTCTTAATGGCTGAGAAATATTCTGTTGTTTATATAAACCACAGTTTCTTCATCAACTCCTTTGTTTTTGATTTTTTTGTTCTTTTGAGACAAGGTTTCTCTGTGTAACTTTGGATCCTGTCTTAGCACTCACTCTGTAGACCAGCCTGGCCTCGAACTCACAGAGATCTGCCTGCCTCTGCTTCCCGAGTGCTGGGATTAAAGGTGTGCACCGCCACTGGCTGACCGTCCACCCCTCTGTTGCTGGAAGCCTAGACTGGCTCTGTAACTTAGCTATTGTAAGTAGCACTGCACTAGACATCGATATGCAAGCATCTCTGCACTTTGCTGGTTTGGAGTCTTGGGGGGTAAAGGCGAAGGTGTGACCTAGCTGGTAGATCTATTTTCAATTTTCTTTGGGAGGGCCATATTGATTTCCATAGAGCCGGGCCTACTGACCTGACTTCAAGTTGTCCTACAGAGCTGTGGTAAGAAAAACAGCACCATCCTGTCACAAAAACAGACACACAGACCAGTGGAAGAGAACAGAGGGCCGGAGTATAAACCACCGAGCCAGAGCCACCCGGTCCTTAACAAGACACTGAAGACATACAGTGGTGAAGCAGCAGCTTCTTCAGCAAATGCTGTTAGCAAGACTAGATATCCAAATGCTGACTGAGGCTCGCTGCCTATACCTCAGCCTACGCGAAACTCAACTCCAAGTGGTTCAAAGACCTTAATGCAAGACCAGAAACTCTGAAGCTGTTGGAGGAAGCAACAGGGGAAACGCTTCAATTAGCACAGGCGAGGGCTTTCTGAACGGGACTCCAGGCACGAAGGAAACAGCATTGACAACTGACAAATGGGAGTCCATGAAATGAAAGATGTCTGTACAGAGAAACGAAACACAAGAGTGGAGGGAGAGTCTACAGCATGGGAGATCTCTGTTAGCTAGAAAGAAACTAAACCCACAAAAAAGGAACACCCCAACTCAGTAAACAAGCTAACAAAACAAGCGGAAAGTTCTAAAATGGTGACCCACAAATGCCCAGCACACGCACGAACAAGTGCTCAGATGCTAAGATAGATGCTAAGAAAAACTACCCTGGGATCCATCTCACCCTGCTCCCCCAAACCAGCAGTCAATAGAAGACAATGACAACCAATGCTTGGGCCAGTAAGATGGCTTGGTGCATAAAGGCGCTTAGGATGACCTAAGTTCAGTACCAGAGCCCTCTTGGGGGGAGGAGAGTTATCCTCTGACCTCCACAGACACCTCATGGCGTGCGCACACGCGCGAGCACACACACACACACACATACACACATGCGTGCAAAATAAAATTTAAAAATAAAAAGGTAAACAAAAAAGAAAAGCCCCGGGCTGGAGAGATGGCTCAAAGGTTAAGAGCACTGGCTGCTCTTCCAAAGGTCCGGAGTTCAATTCCCAGCAACCACATGGTGGCTCACAACCATCTGTAATGAGATCTGGTGCCCTCTTCTGGCCTGCAGGCATACATGCCATGCAGGCAGAATACCGTATATATAATAAATAAGTAAAAGAAAAAAGAAAAGCCCTGACTTCCTTTTTGTCCGATTTTACCAGCATATTTAGAAACCACACTTATTTAGTATTCATTTATTTTTGAGTGAGAAGTTTTATTAGAAAGGGGAGGGAGGGGGCAGGAAAGAGAAAAGAGGTAAAGAGACAGAGAGGGAGGACAGAAGAGAAGAGGGACACAGGAGCAGAAAGAGGGGAGAGTGGAGAGGGGGAGGGAGGAGGGAGGGAGGGAGGGA